CTAGACCAGGCAGATAAGACATATAACTGGAGACTCAATCCGACCTTCATGACTGACGTGGAAACCCTGAACGACATTACCAATGTTATTAAGCAATATTTTGATATCAATAAGGTCACAGACACTGCTCCTCTTAGCATGTGGGAGGCACACAAATGTGTTGTTCATGGAGAGTTTATTAAGTGGGGTGCTAGAGGGGAAAAGGAACAAACTAGGAAAATTGCAGAAATCTCTACAGTGATAGCAAAACTGGAATCCCAGCATAAACTATCCCTTACTGTATCTTTGGCAGCAGACCTGAAGAAGGCTCGGCTGGAACTCCAAGCTATCCATGACACCAACTATTGTATAAATGTTCCTTATTCTTTAAAAAACTAATTTATTATGAGGGTGCAAATAAAAGCGGGCGTTTCCTGGCCAAAGCTTTAAGAGAGGCTAAACTTAATTGAGAAAATATTAATGGAGTCAGAAACACTACCCTGTACAATGTTCCTCCCATCCACACTCCTAAAGACCTTAAAGGAGAGAAAATGTATTTAATCAATGACTTTCTTAAGAAAAGTAAACTACCTTCCCTAAAACGTTCAGATGCTAAACTACTAGAACGCCCTATTGAGGAAATGGAATTGGCTAACGCTATTAAAAACCTAAAACCGGGAAAAAGCCCAGACGGCCTTACGTCACAATCTTATAAGGCCTTTAGCACCTTGCTTACAACGCCTTTACTTCAGACATTTAACTCCTTGAGAACACTACAGCCTATACCTCCTTCTTTTTTCCTTGCACATATTCCTGTCATTCCAAAAAGGATAAAGACCCTGCTGAATGTACAAGTTACAGACCAATCTCTCTAATTAACACTGACAATTGCTTGCGAAAATATTAGCCAACTGGCTTAGGCCTTTACTATCTGTTATCATAGGACCAGAACTAGTCTGCTTTATGCTGGGCAGGGAGGCACGGGATAACATTGTCAAGTCCTTAACCTAATCCACAGAGCACCTTCTGAAGATATTGAAGGCCTTCTCCTCTCTACGGATACGGAGAAGGCCTTCGATCACGTATCGTGGGAATTTATGTTTGCCACCTGTGCACATACTGGTCTGGAACCTAGCATGGATCACTGCACTGTATCAAAACCCCACAGCTAGGATTAATGTTAATGGCACTTTATCTACAACATTAACTGTTACAAATGGAACGAGACAGGGCTGCCCCCTGTCTCCTCTTCTATTTATTCTCACACTTGAACCCTTTATAAGGTTGATTCAGCAAAATTAGACTATACATGGTTTCCAAATCAACAATGAGATCTTCAGAACAGCGGCATTCACAGATGATCTGCTATTTTTCTTATGTCAGCCTCATATTTCTGTACATAATCTTCTGAGCTTATTCAACCACTACCTTTTTCTCTCTAATTTGAAAATAAATTACACCAAATCATAGGCTTTGAATTTATCTGTTAGCCCCTCCTCCTTAGCCCTCATTAAGTGTAATTGCTCTTTTAGGTGGGTCCCCATCGCCCTTAAATATCTAGGTATTTGGCTTACTCAAAATCTGGAAGACCTGTACGCACAAAACTTTGTCCCCTTACTATGCAATATGCATAGGGATCTCAAATTTTGACATGCAAAAACCTTTTCTTGGTTTGGTAGGGCAGCTATCATTAAAATTAATATACTTCCTAGGTTATTATATAGCATGAACGCCCTCCCAGTCAGAATCCCATCAATTTTTTTCAAGAAATTACAACAAGCTCAAAGAGCCTTTGTCTGGGCTAATAAGAAACCACACATTCAATTTTAATTAATTACGCGCACCAAAGATTCTGGAGGTATGGGCTTACCAGACTTTAAAAAATATTACAATGCCACTCACATTACCAGAATCATCAACTGGAATTGCCACACCAAAAATAAACATTGGGTCAGTCTAGAAAGTTCTTACACATCGTCTCTTTTAAGATTCTTGCCATGGTTACTTAAGTCTACTTATTCAAAACATCTGCCCGCTCATCCCTTAATCGGTGCAACATTGGATGTTTTTTATGACCTTGCGAGGCTCCGGGGCTTTGCTAACTCACCAGGCCCTCTCACCCCTCTGGCTAACAACCCGGAGTTTCCTCCCGGGTTGGAGGTTGCTGTGATCCCACTGCATGGTTCAGGTTTATCCCTGTTGGCAACTCACTGTCTCAAACGCGGGGGTGTAAGGTCCAAAGGAGAACTTCAGGAGTTTGTGTGGAGAGGTTTCTATTCCATATTGGACTTATTTTCAAATGCACAATTATTCAACTAACCACAAATGGAGGGAAGCATTTTCCAACCTTATCAACCTTAGAAATACTTTTTCTGAAAGGGAAGCCTGTATACTAGACCACCTCTCTAGCCTACACATGGCTTCAACATGAATATAATAATCCCCCCAACAATTTTCGGGCTGGGAATCAGCTCTTCAGACAGAATTCTCTATTAGCACTAGGACACAGGAAATTCCTACAAATTGTTAACCAGATGGTATGCCACTCCGGATAGGCTAAAGAGGTGGTTTCCTCAGAGGTCAGGCTTATGCTGGCAATGTTGATCAGCAGAGGGCTCCCTGTTACACATTTGGTGGCAATATCCACAGCTTATACCATTTTGGGATAAAGTTTGTGATTTAATTTACACCATTATGGAGACTGCACTATCGCTGACCCCAGAATGCTGCTTCCTCCACATCTCTGCTTGTGCAACATTTCCATCCTCCTGTTGATTCCTTTCACTCAATTTAGTGTGATCTTTGTGCCTGAAACGTCTTGATATATGAATCCTTCATGTATACCAGTGACATGATTATACAACTGACTAATATTGATACAAACAACATGTACAGTATATGTGAACTGAATGTCTTCATATTTTGTGTATCTTACTTGTTGCTACTTTGATTCCACTTTGTTCTGCTTTTCCATGAATAAACATCAATTGTTTTTTCAAAAAAAAAACAAGCTATGGTCCAAAAACCTCTATTTATATGCAAGCTTACCCAAAGTGGGAGATATCTTAGATTTTTTGATGTCCTATGCAACTTGATAAGGACAACAGTAGAATAGCCATCATTAATATCACATCTTACCGCTTACAGAATATATAATAGGGTTCATTACTATTCCATAGATTTACTCTATATATCAACAATATTCCAGATATAGACAAAAATAGAATTTGCCAAATCCATACTTACATCTAAAGTTGTTGCAAAGGGGTACCACTGAGCCTGATTCATCACTATCAAGTAAGGTGATATATGTCCATAGGATAGACATTTTGTTGCTGCTTTGTACTGGATCATATATATATATATATATATATATATATATATACATATGATTATTTTCAGATAGATCTAAATTGCAGATAGTTTCTTGGTAATATCCCTATTGTGAATGTGATACCAACTTGCCAGTTTGCTACTACCACTGTCCCTTGGTGTCCCCATTATTAAGATACCCTGTGAAACCATGTGAGTGCACCTGTTCATTCCCCTTTTTTATTCTTATTTCAGTGTTGTTTTGTTATCTTTTATTTCATGTAAGATTATACTATATTATGTATAAGCAAATATTTCAATATATGCTTTCTATAGTCAGGTTATATTCCTGTAAACTCCAGTCGAGAGTCCTGAGGAAATAGATAAGCAAAACGCGTTGGCCTCTTTGGATTAATGGAAATGAAAAAACTATATAATTTGAAGAAATAATCTATATTTAAATGATGACTATGGAATGTTTTTATAGAATTTCTTTTGTTAGTTTTGTTTTTTAAAAATATTGTAATAAAAACATATATTTTATTGATAAATAGTGTGTTCTTTGGTACCAGTAAAGTCTGACATTATTTTGTACCTTTTCTAGAAGTATATCGGGATGTTGGTACTGAGGGGAAGCAGCAACACTATATACTGTAGATCAGGGCTTAAAATTTCAAGTCTTGAGCTACTAGCCAGGCCTTAAGAGTTGCTCGCCACCAGTTGCCCCACCCAACCCCTACCCTGCTACCTCCCTAATTCCCCCCTAAACACGCCCTCGTAAATTATTTCATGAAATTACACTGTTAAATGTTACCCACATTACATCAGGGTCCCCAGAGTCCCCCACTTTACATCAGGGCCTCCAATGTCCCCCTAAACACTCCATCATACTTAGACTATGCACCGCATACAACCATAACCCCACATAATCTTTCACTCACAAAACCATAACTCCACCAAGCATATCCTACCTACTCAGCAAGATGGCCCTGGGGACACACTCGCCCCACCATAATTTCCGCTCGCCATTGGCAAGCAGGCGAGTGGAAATTTCAAGGCCTGCTGTAGATTGTGTTTATAACCTATTTCAATCATATTTTCATGTACAGCCATTTAAACTGTGAATTGGTTATGCCCATGAAGCATTGATTAGGTTTTTCTTTTTATGTGACATGGGAACATAGAGTTCTATCTGCAGAATGCTCCTTATCTTTTAGTAAATGGGCATTCTGTGGACACAACATTTACAGTTCTCACATGGCAACAGACAAGCACCAACATTTCCCACAAGGTAACATGTATACACTAATGTAACAACAGGACCACTGCTATGGAGCCTATGGTTGAGTGGCATCCAGTCATTGCCCATATTTAAGAATTCCTGTCATTAGCCCTTCATTATAACAAGGGAATTTCTATTGTAGCGTGAATGTTAGCTGGAATAGGCTTTTGCATTTAAATGATGTTATGTTGTGCGTGGGTGTATATGTTCAGCAGGTGTTGTTATTGAGGGGATATTGTGCAGCTGTGGTACACGTTTCTTGCGCCCAGAAGAGATTATATATGTCCTTGAATGGATCCCTGCAAACATATGAGAGCTAGGAGAATTTAAAAAGTTGAATCTTTCTGCTCAACCTAAGAAAAGTTTTACTTGGCCTATAATTGTTCATAGGCTTTAAGATATTTTCTCTGTTTGGCTGTATGCTTACCATTCACCGCCAGTCGTAGAGTAACCTGCTCCACCAATTCAGCCTGCTCATTCTTCAGCACCAAAGTGTATCTTCCAGCATCCTGTTCTACCACTTCCCTTATCTGCAAAAAGTGAAGAGACTGGCCGTACTTTCCATAAGTGCTGCTAAATGTTATTGGCTTCCCATCTTTAAACCTGAGAAAGGAAATGGAGATACAATTCTTATTGTGCTCAGCATATTTCACAATTGTTTACAGCTTGGCTTTTTTCAGTTTCCATTTCCTACCCAGCTTACTCCAAACCTACCTAAACCAGGATGTAAATATTGCAATATAGGAGAAACATTAGTCAAACTTCTTGTACCAAAGAGTAGGTTATATATAAATACTCAAAAGACACTGGTATTTTTCCATAACATGGTACATAGGCAAAGACATGAAGTAATCCAACTGGAGATGAGCACTGTGATTCACGTTAAATTGATTATGAAACAAAATGATCAGTTTCACCACCAAATGTTTGGACTTGTAAAAGGAAAAAGATCTACTCCCTTATTCTTCATGATTCACAAGGTCTTTATTTATTTATTTATGTGTGGGGGTGGGGTGTGTGGGAGGCTTACTGTAGTTTGGGTAGTTTAGTTTACCTGATTAATTTTGTTTCACCAGTGACTCACTAAAATAGCCAAATTTTGCTTCAATCTTACATTTTTTTACCTATTAGTTGGCTTACTATGTATTGAGTACTGCACTTTGCCTGAAATTAATTTCAAATTTAAAGTGAAATTCCAGCTTTGTTGAGAAAAAAAACAATCCCAGGTAAACTAAAATCAAACTTATAATGCTGGTTCCCTTGGCAAGATCATTCACTGTTCTAAAGAAACTGATGTTTGTTTTTCCATGTCCTTTGTCATACTGTTTTTGAAATGTAGATCATTGTATTCATCTGGGCAATCTGTATTTGCATAACTTTCAAAGTGGAAAAGTAGTGATTATTTTACTAATATCAAACTACTACAGAGAATGCCTGAAATGTTATTTGTATCTCAGTCTTCAGGGAAAACCATTGTGCCAATTAAACAAACAGGAGGTGAAATCCCTGATAATACTCTGTACACAAGGGTCTATAGATCACCTCCAGATTACCATGCTGTAAGGAAGTGACATTTCTGAACAGTTTTAGAAAATTATAGCATCCACATATTGGAATGGAAAGGTCATTTTTTATCATTATACATTTTAAGTTACAAATTACTTGTGTAACTATAGTGTATGGCAGTGTTTCTCAACTGTTTTTCCAGTCAAGACACCCGTTAAAATTCTGCGCAATGTTGAGGCACCCCATTATAAACGTAACTAAGCTAATACAGGGTGTCCCACAAGTCGCCATACATAGGAAATATGAGAAAGTGTAGCTAAATGTACCTTTATATACAAAATATTTATTACAAAATTTTACAAAATATTTACAAATGTTCTCTACGTGTTTGCCACCTCTTTCTAAAAACAGACAAGGTCTACTCCCCCACTCATGTTCCAAGATATCTGTCATTATGCAAGTGCATTTTGAATGCATTCCTTTAAATGATCCATGTTTCTAATAATGTTTCTGTACACCAAATAGTTCCACAAGAAAAAGTTGAGTGGGGAAAAGATCAGGGGATCTCGCAAGCCATTCCACTGGGCAGCGATGACCAATCCATGAAATGGAAACTGTTGATTCAACTATCACCATATGCTGCTACCATAGTGGGGCGGTGTCTCATGTATGGAGACTTTTGGGACACCATGCAGTTTTATATATCACAGCATCATTCATACATGTAGGACACCCAACATTAGGGGTTATTTATTCTTACAAGGCAAACACGTTTGCACATTGGTACTGGCTAACATTCCAGTGTTTCTTTTCTATCTCAGCTTCTCTCTCTCAGTCAGGTACCCTTGTCAGCCAATTATGTCATCAGTTGTTAGGCAGCTGGTGGCTGGCCCACACAATACCCAATCTTGTAATGCTGTACAATGAAAATCTGTGGCTTTGTGTAACAAAAAAAGCAGGCTTTATCCTCCCACGGGTCTGTACTCATTTTTTTTTTTTTTTTGGCATTCTTACCAAGGCACCCCTGAAGAACCCAGAAGGCATCCCAGACAACACACTGATTGAAAAAGGCTAGTATAGTATGCTTTAGGAGTTTTCCTTCAAAATTTTTCTTCAAAATTCCTTCAAACTTTACAAACAGACAGCAAATGTCTATGCAAGAAAATTTTTTTCATAGCTCAAATGTTGTGTCAGCAAAAGAACCAAAATATTTTAAGTATACAGTACATCTACTGTATAAATCTTTTGTAATGTCATAATACGCAAAAGGATTGTGCTTTATCCATTTTGTGACCAAAGTTCATTAATGCTTAGAAGCCCAGGCCAAATTTAGCAGTGTCATGATGAAGGACAGGAATACCGAAATTTGTCTCTCTGAAGTACAGTAAGTCCATATGTGCCCTAATATGTGGAAAATAACATTTTGGTTTTCAGTATCTTGGAGTGCAACTTCTGTTTTGGGGATTTTGTATAATGGAGCAGAGTGGAATCTACTGTCAGAGTACACCCATGGGCAACTTACTATAATCTTATATATATTTATGTATATATTTTTTTTGCAAAGACATATAAGGATCCTCTTTGTTCTGCTGTTATTTAAAATTTTAAAAAATGTCTATGTTTTATTTTTTTTAATTTATTTTTATATTTTTTTATTGCAATTGTATCTGACAATGAAAGTACTAAACAGATGAATACTGTCATCTTCAGGTATCTGTGGGCTAAATACTTATTTTGTTATAGCTAACATAATGAATATAATAAAACCAAATAAATCTGTGCTTAGTGTAAATAAATAAAATTAAAAGAATATTACAGCCGCACTAAAAAAAAACCTAACACCAAGTGCACATGAACCTACTGTCAAATAAATAGTTGCACTGTGTGCAATAAATAAATATTACCTTAAAGTGGTGCTCCAGTCAAAATATAAAAAAATAAAAGTCAGCAGCTACAAAAACTGTAGCTGCTGACTTTTAAAAAACAGACAATTGCCTGTCTCTCGATCCAGCCGTATTTTCACTGCAGTTAGTTTCACCAGCCATCCTCTCTCCCTGGCATTGGCATCCTAAGTGTGAACACTCAATTGTGACAGCTTGTGGCTTCACAGCTGGGTGTGTGTGAGTAGCTCTGTGCCTTGTGAATGGTCCCATAGTCTGCTGGGACCTGTCATGTATCCCAGAAGACTACGGGGAGGGAGGGGAATGACACCTTCCACAGCAGAAGTGGGAGCAGGTACCTGTCAAAATCAGGTACCCGCTCCCCCCCCTCCCCAAAGGGGGACAAGGCCTTTTGAGTGGAGCTCCGCTTTAAATACATAAACCAAGAATAATCATAATATGAACAATGGCAAATGTGACTTTGTGCATGGGACAATGACTCCCTTATTTGTAAGTGATATGTGTAAGTAACTGAATCAATATAACAAACAAAAAAAGTCCACTGCCAATGTGTTTGGATGTAAATATCATGAAGGAGAGTTTCACCACCATTCATCTGTGTAGTACGTATCCACTTCCAAATATGATTACACCACCAAGTGAAATCGCCACCATCAATTACAATGGCCTCTTACCAGATAATGAGATCTCACATTAAAGATGTCACCTGTCAAGCATCCACAGTTTTCAAGATCTTAATGGTATATGACCCAAGGGCAATTTTGGAGTCTCCAGATACACCACCAAGGATCATGTAGTGCAAGGCCTCTCCACTCAGTATGTTTGTGGCATGTAAAAACAAATGGACATAGTACAAACCACCATTTTATTCAGCTGATTTAAGGCATTAATATTCACATAAGTGTAGATATAACATGCATGTAAACCACCGCCGCTTCCAGCTACTCATGGGGGGAGTATGCATTTCAAACAATAGCCCATTATCAAGGGGGACCTTGATAGTCTAGGTTTGAAGGAAGTAGACACTAGGGATCATTCACCCAGGAAAAGAAGGGGAACTGGACCTTGCAGAGGGCATTATCAGAGGGCAGGTCTGGAGTAGAGATGAGTATTACCGATAAATAAAGTGGGAAATTTAAATAATATTTTATTCTAAGCTAGAGTTCTGCTTTATAAAAAATGTTGCAGCAACATCTCAAGCACCCCTAGCAGTAATATAGTTTGTCATAGTCCCTATCTCTGTAACTTTTGTTGGACAGTTTAGCCTGCATGTAAACATGGATACAAATATAAAGGTTTGAAAAAAGAAAACACACTGGTTAATGGTATTACATCTATTTATTGCATACAGTTATTAGTTTGCAACCATTTCCTTTATTTCAAAGAAGACACTGGGCAGCTAGTATTTACAGAAATATTTGCTAATAAAGAACAAATTAAGCATAGGGCATACATGACAGAGTGGAAGGGGAAGGCTGAAGGGGTTAACTATTTTAGAAGTAGGTGGTCAGTTACTGACCCTCACCTGATTGGTCAGGCAGATGAGGTGATGGGGAGTAGCTGGAAAGTATAGTTGCTGGGGAGGAGTGGTTTAGGCTTACTCACAGAGTTGGAATTGTTGGAAGAAAGTCCCTCTCTCCTACTCGTATGGTTTGCGGATTCATTGTATTCTTTTGTATTCTATGGCAGTTTGTGGTCCTTGATGGGGATCTAAAGCTGGTCTTATTGGGAAAACGGTGGGGACCCATCCAAGGTATGGCGTCCTCTACTTGCTTGTTCAAGTTTTAAGAATAGGGCACTGGGAAATCAGGTGGGTGTCTGAGGTCAGCTGGGATGGTCTCCAAGGCAGTGTTTGATGGCTGGGGGCGTAACTCAACTAAATGGTGCCACAGACACAAAGTTTGGAGTAATATGGTACTGTCAAGGACCAGCAACCAAGTTTAACTGGATTATGTTATGTTTGTTATTTAAAGCTTATTGTTTAATAAAAAGCCATGTCGGCCCTTTAACTCCATGAACGTAGTTATTTCTAAGGGAGGAGGTCACAGGTAGGTGGAACTGAGGAGTGTGCTTGGCGAGGTTAGCCTAACGAGGTGAGCTCTGAACTACCCTGGTCATGTTGAAAACTGGTTTAAAACAATGGGGTGGGAGCTTTTAAAGAAATGTACATCCCTTGAATGAGAATA